CTTTCCCTTCCTTTCCTTTCCTTTCCTTTCCTTTCCTTTCCTTTCCTTTCCTTTCCTTTCCTTTCCTTTCCTTTCCTTTCCTTTCCTTTCCTTTCCTTTCCTTTCCTTTCCTTTCCTTTCCTTTCCTTTCCTTTCCTTTCCTTTCCTTTCCTTTCCTTCCCTTTCCTTCCCTTTCCTTCCCTTTCCTTCCCTTTCCTTCCCTTTCCTTCCCTTTCCTCCCCTTCCCCTTCCCCTTCTTCTTCCCCTTCCCCTTCCCCTTCTTCTTCCCCTTCCCCTTCCCCTTCCCCTTCCCCTTGCCATTCCATTCCATTCCATTCCATTCTCTAGTGGTAAACAAAAAATATGCAATACTATGACCTATCAGACCCTACACAAATAATGCAGAATGGAGATGTAACCCAGCATTTTGCCTGTGCGTGATGACTTTCACCAGTGCCATTCTAAGCTTCATGCTAACCAAGGAAGAGCTAACTTCATATCCTGTACACTGCCTTCTCTAGATAAGTGAAGAGGATCATGATAAAATCCCAAATACAGGGTCGCTGCTCAGGTATCCTAGGAATGAGTTACACCTGAAGAGCTATTCAAAGGAGAGTGAACATGGCTGCATCTTACATTCAGAAAACTGGAAAGACTGGAAGGAAGAAAAATCCAGTACAAGGACCACTCCATTCCCCAAAATCATGGATGTTGCACCTCCAATTCTGAAGGAGTTCCAGATAACACAGTGAGAGAAGGTTGATCTTGCTGCATCACCCTCCCTATGAAGGAATTGTTTCAGGAGTGGCTTGAACAGACCTGCAGGTTTAAAGGAATCTAATTTTACATGTACTGATTTCTCTGGGTTCTAAAATAATGAAGCATTCTTTCTATTCCTGGCAACTTGTGATTTATGTAAGATTATACAGTACATCCGTCTATCCCTAATCTGGAAGATGGGCATGATAATTTATTTACACTCCCAAAAAAACCACCCAACTACTAAATTTTCCATTGTGAGGGCATAAGATTTTAATATGTTGGAATAAAAGCTCCTCACAGTGAATATCAAGCATTCACAGGGGGATGTGAAGTGATTTCATTGACCCTGTTTACCCTTTCAGCAGGCTGCACTAAAAATCCTGGGGGTTTAGCTCCTTTCTTCTCTATTAATATAAGCATTATGCATATAGCGCTGTAGGTGTACAGTCAACATCAATCAATTATATTCCCCACTTTAAGGACATATTATTATGTGGTGATTACTTTGGGGAGAATACTTCTGCTACTAAGTGCAAATCTAATGCATACTAAAGTTGTACTTGAATGAGCAATGAGCAAGAGCTTTTATTTTTTCCATCAAGCAAGATGTTTTGGGAAAACATTTGCAGAGTGATCATTCATAAAGCTATCTCACTCAATCTGATAACCTCAGATTTAGGAAAAGTTAGCAAGCACGCAGATTGGCATTCTCAGCTGTACCTAGACAGTAATGTACAAGGAACCAAAAAGTTTCTCAGGAACCACACATTCCTAGCTCTGCAAAAGCTTCTTTTTTTTCATATAATACTCCATGTTCTGCTGCGGACCTGTAAACATTTTGCCCATAATTTGATCTGCATTTATATTCACTTACAGTTTAATCCCATACAATCCTTCCAGGTAAGACCATATCCAGTATAAATGAATTCTTCATTCTCAAGGAAGAGATCAGATCAAGATGAGCAATGCACCTATGGTGGTTGTTACCTCTGCAGACAGTAAGACAGTTAAGAACTAAATAAACTGGCTCACAGTTCTGAGGGCTTTGCTTTGCACAGTAAAAATGCTTATAGGAAACATTCACTGGATGTAAAGTCAGTGGCAAGCATTATCTTTCATAGCCAACAAATAATCTGGGCTGAAGCCAATGGGATGAGTTTCAACAAGGCCAAATGCCGGGTCCTGCACTTCGGCCACAACAACCCCAGGCGACGCTACAGGCTTGGGGCGGTGTGGCTGGAGGACTGCGTAGAGGAAATGGACCTGGGGGTATTGATTGATGCTCGGCTGAACATGAGCCGACAGTGTGCCCAGGTGGCCAAGAAGGCCAATGGCATCCTGGCTTGCATCAGAAACAGTGTTGGCAGCAGGAGCAGAGAGGTGATTGTTCCCCTGTATTCAGCACTCGTGAGGCCGCACCTCGAGTACTGTGTCCAGTTTTGGGCCCCTCACTGCAAGAAAGACATTGAGGCCCTGGAACGTGTTCAAAGGAGGGCAACAAAGCTGGTGAGGGGTCTGGAACACAGGCCATATGAGGAGAGGCTGAAGGAGCTGGGAATGTTCAGCCTGGAGAAGAGGAGGCTCAGGGGAGACCTCACTGCTCTCTATAACTGCCTGAAGGGAGGTTGTAGTGAGCTGGGGGTCGGCCTCTTCTCTCGTGTCATTAGTGATAGGACCAGGGGGAATGGTTTCAAGCTACAGCAGGGGAGATTCAGGCTGGACATGAGGAAGTATTACTTTTCAGAAAGGGTGGTCAGGCACTGGAATGGACTGCCCAGGGAGGTGGTGGAGTCACCGAGCCTGGGGGTGTTCAAGGAAAGACTGGATGTTGTGTTGAGGGACATGGTTTAGTGGGAGCTATTGGGAATAGGTGAACGGTTGGACTGGATGATCTTTTAGGTCTTTTCCAACCTTGGTGATTCTATGATTCTATGATTCTATGATAAATAAATAATAGGGAAAAAAATGGAAGATGTAACCATTATTTTAATAAGACACAAATCTGACATCAAAACATTATGTGACAACACAGCACTGTGTTTGCTGATTGCCACTAAATCAGAGTGTACAGATCTTCACCTGCATGAAAGTCTCCAAATGCCAGAACAGGTACTGCCACGAGTATTTTGGTTTCTGTTGTGAAGCATTATACATGCACACTACACTTCAGATACAGACATCATTTAGCAGATTGATTGTATTAGTGTAAGGCTTCTCAAGTTTTATGATGCCATGGATTTTTCAACAGCAGGGAACAGTCAGTCTTACAGATCTACTACATTTTTGCCAGAAAGTAAAAGGCTAATGACGTGAAATATGAATGCCACAGTAAGGCATGTGATTAATAGCCACTGAGTAATAAAATCATTGCTGACAAAATATGTCCAATGAAAAGTTTAAATCTTTTCCAATGAAAAGTTTAAATATCCTCTTGGGAAGGAGTCCTGGGTCTTGTTTCCAGTGCCGCAGATTCATTTTATTCAATGACTTGACAGGCAGGAGTTGTGAAGCAGTTCCCAGCACATGGATGAGAACCAAGAATTCTCATTCTCAGACACATCCCTCTGTAAAAAAGGAGCTGTGTACTTCTCCAGTTAGACTGTGTCCTCAAGAGTCTTGAACCCTTTGCTGGACAACAGCCCAATTTCAACAAGAGTTCAGGGGCCTGATGCTATAGCTTCCCACAGCTTTCCATAGTGTTTTAAGAACGAAGTACCACGGTTTAAAATTTTAAGCTAAGGAGGACCCAGAGCCCCTCTGCTTCATTTTGCTACAATCATTATATTACTGTGGTAACACAGCCCTCACTTCCTACCTTCCTCCTTAGATAGCGTGGTACTCACTCTCCAAAAGAGAGCTGCAAGTCCTTTGTGAAGCCCTCTTGTCAAATGCCTTTTACAACACACTTCTTTATGTCAATTTCTAGCAGCTGATTCCAAATGGCTTTGCTCCCCCGATATAAAAATGGAAACAGAAATTGCCATACAGAAGTGTACAGAAATTCTCTACCATCAATACAAACACATCACTGTAAGACTGCCCTAGTCTAAAAGGTGTGATCTTCTTGTACATCCTCATGTCTTCCCTCATGTCACTACTGAACAACCACACATATATCAGCATGTTATCCAGCTGAACACTAATGCATCTGAAGAGTGCTGTGTTTTCAGCTGTTCCTGTTATCCATCAACCTCCCCACATTCAGACCCAGTTATAAATGCCTGCACAAGGGTAGGCATAGCCACGGAAGGTAGGACGGTCCCTGCTGATAGCAGCCCTGTTTTGATCAGCTAAAGGCCATCAGGGATCTGCACACACATCACACTAACTCCATTATGGGAGCACCCTGTCATCGTCATTGCGAAGAGCCCAGCCACCTACCTCAAGCTGTGAATCAGAGAATCCAAATTGCTCGGGTTGGAAAAGACCTTCAAGATCATCAAGTCCAACTACAAATTAATCATACTACCCTAACTCTTACAACCCTCCACTAAATCATGGCCCCAAGCATCACATCCAAATGGCGAAATTGCCCTATCTGTGACCACAGTCAACAGCTCTCATCAGAAGGGCTAGGGCATGCAGGAAAAATTATGTTAGCTGCCATCAAAACTTTACCAGAAGCGGATCATACATTCCTGTTGTAGAGATGAGCCCCATTCCCAAACTCTTCATTAAGGCATAATTAATTGGGAAACCACTGTTTTGTAAGCAACAGACCATTCAGTTATTTCTGCTAGAGAAAACTAGATTAGAAGGTTCAAGAAAAAAGCAAACAAGTTGATTGGGAAATTTTTCCCAAACATGATCTCATTTCTACATCCCCTGAAGAACCACTGTGGGGCAGTTTTTATCAGTCAGTAATACATGCTGTTAGGTCTTGCCTTAGCAAGACACACAATGCGATACCCCAGGGACATGCTGCCAGTCCATTGGAACTACCAAGTAACACTGAGGCAACCTGAAGTGAGGAATGGCATCAGCCAAGGGCTGGGTGGCAGATTCCAGCTCACGGGGTGGCTGACTCCACTCCACAGTATCAGTCTCCTGATACTGTCAGTGAGCCAGAACACGGACTCCTAAGGCAAAGATCTCACCTGACACCTAGTTACAGGGGTATCTCCAACACTGCCTGGCCCCTGCCCTCCCTTCTTTTGTGCCCCAGCATCCCTGGCCTGGTGCCACTCCAGATTAAGCCTAACTAACTATTGGAGGGGAGGGCAGCATCCAGCTCCTTTCCCAAGGCTGCTACCTTTTGACCTGTTCTCTTTATTTATATGGTTTGGCCTCTCGGACCTGATACGAGGGCAGGAAGAGCACTAAGTGCCTTCCTTTCACCTTCCCTACCCACCTCTCTCTCCAGCAAAACCCCACAAATCCACACCTGCCCCACAGCTGTCACTCAGTTCAAACAATCCAAATATGAAGTACTTCTGGCTCTGCATTGCTTTCAGTGGATCTGTAACTCTCATTTCTGGTCCAAAACTCACAGCTGTTGCTCTTCCACTACCAGGATCTCCAAGTCCTTATTCCCCTAGAATGAAGGCTGAGAGGCTGTAGGCAAGACAGTGAATACCTCACACATGCTGGTGCAGAAACACTTCATTTTATCCCATCGCTACTCAAATACCAACAGTAGCACAGCAGGCCTTTGACCCATCCATAACAGAAATGCCAAATGCCACAAAACTCACTCACTTCCAGCTAGCATATAAATTCCCATGGTGATTCCTCAACACTTGCAACTTAGCTTCTTGCAACTTAGCTTTCCTACACAGCTGGGCTGATGGTGATGTAGATCATTAGATGCCCTATGGCAGGCCCGTGTCCACGCAGGCTAACATGCAAACTGACTTAGCCATGCAGCCATTAGCACAGCAAAGGGTAACAGAGTTGTGGCACTGCTGTAGCCCTATTAAGCACGAGGCGTTTGCCTGAGACCTTATGTTTTCACACAGAGCTGTGATTTGTTATCCACACCTAGGCAGAGATGCCCAGGCCGCACCACATTTACTTTCTATTAAGAGCTCTTAAGAACGTTGTCTTCCCCAAATGTAAATGGAGAGTCTGAGGAAACACAAGCCTTTGATGTGTGTGGGGGGAGATGTCATGCATTTAGGCAGAATATTTTAATTATGTGAATTACAACAGGGCAGCCTGCTTTTTTCTTTTTTTTTTTTTTTCATGCTTAGTCATTTCCACTTGGACTCTGCAAACATGGAACCATGCACTGAGTGTTTAAGCGTTTTGAATAAACTCTAGCTTTGGCAAGCCTTAAGCAGAGGAAAAGAAGTCAGTCCTATTCTTCTTTATTTCCCCCAGCTGATTAGTAGCTCCTTTGGGAAAGACTGGAGCTAGTTGACTCTACCCATTGGAGATAGTCAGTGCCACGCATGCTGACACCATCTCACCCCATTCCCAGGAATGACTTCTGAAATGTCTCTGAGGCCGTGAGCTGCCATTCAGTCTTATTTGAATACAAAATATGGAGAGATGAATGAGGGTAATTTCTTGTCCTTTATGAGAAAAACCTGATACCCTGTGCACAGTTGTGGTATTTCTATACAGTTTACATACTCGCCACCAACCTTTTTTATTTTTAAACCTTCTGATTTTCTTCATAAAGCAGTTGTCCAGCTAAATTAGGTGTTTATTCAGCATCTGTTCTCTCTAAATATTTACTAATGAAGGACTTTTAAAAAACTTTTCCCCTCAGCCTGCTCGCTAGGCAGCCTAACTTTTTCCATTTCTTTGATCCTGAAGTCCCCCCTTATTTTTAATTATTCTTCCCTTGGCAGCTGAAGGAAAATGTAGCAATATACACCAAGCCCTTCCCCACCCTTGCAGCTAACAAAGATACTGGTTGTAGATCAAAGAATCCATCAGAACACACTGCTTCCTATGCAATAAGCCCTCTGTCTCTGGAATACATGAGTTTATCTTCATTGTGCATTCCGATAAGATGTTATTATAGTAGTGACTTTAATTACATTTCTCATTATTGCATTAGTGTGCAGTAACATGGGGTTTCACTGCATCTAAATGTGATGGTTTGTAGAACATGGTGCCTTTAAGTCTTGGGAGGGAGGGAAGTAAAACTTCAAAAGCCACAAAACAAACAAAAGAGAAACCTTCATTTTACACGCATTTGAGCAAAAGTCCCTGTGGAAGGAGTGAGAAAATGTTCTAGAATGAGGACCGGGAGATGGAAAAAGATGAGAAAACATAAAAAGGCAACGTTGTACACACCTCTGTGCATCTGTGTGATACAAAAACAGTAAGATTCCAGAGAATAACTATTCCACAAATTGACAGATGGATACCTTTTGTCCTGCCTTCATACAGTGATATACGTGGAAGTTTATTTCAGTGGAGCATCTTTAAATGCTGATCTCTTTTTCTACATAGGAGAACCATTTATTCGATAGTAAGATCAGAAGTCTTACAGCAGTGAGACTAATGAGCTATCTCAAAGTATTTTGTCTTAGGAAATGAGTGGGTTAAAAAACCTTTGTAAGTGTAAAATATTCATTATCATTCGTATATTTTGGATGTCTAACAAATATCAGCTGAACTGATATTCAGTAAAACAGATTTTTCATATAGCTCAGCTTCTCTGATAACTTGATTAAATATGAGGCTTGCTATTTGGTGCCAGGTGATTCCCAGAGGATTGAATTTATCACATGCTTAGTCTTGCAATCTTTACTTAATAACTGCTTAATCTATAACTTATTGGAGAATGGTGATAGTTCCCATAAACAGCAGTCAACTTTAAATCAGAGTATAAATTATCAAATGCATTTCCCTTTGAGAGGCATAGACCTCAAAACAGACCTTTGCTACTGGTCCTATGGAATTAGAAATAATTTTGTGATCTCCAACTGAATTGCTGTTGATGTATTTTCAAGGGGCAGGTTGCAGCTCAACAGTTTTCTTCTTGAAGCCTCTAGCCAAAATATTCAGTCGGTCCCCAGCTTGTTTTAAAGCAACTGTGTTGTAAAATGGTGCATTGCTTGACCCCGTTGCCTGAAGCAACTGTAAGTTTATGAGTTTTGTTTTTTTTACTTCTGCCAGATAGTGAAAATACAGATAGGTCTGATCCATATAAATCAAGTTTTTAATTAAAATACAGTGGGTTTGCTAACACAAATGGCATTTTTCCTTCTATTCACTGTATCCTGCTTTAATGCCAACACTGAACAAATAAGCTGTGCTTATCAGTGCAGTGTTTTTGTCTGTCAAATATCACTAAGTTTTTTTTTTTTTCCTCTCATTATATTTTGAGTTTCAAATAGTCTAGTTTGTAGAGATGTCTTCTTCCCCTCTGGAAGGCATATATTCTATCTTTGTTTAAAATGTGGGAGTGTTTTAAAATAAAACATTATTAAGGAGATGTTTGCCATCAACATTAATTGTGAACATCTTTTCATGTTTTCATCTGGAGAGGGAAATCTGAGGACACAATTCAGTGAGGAGAGTTTCAAATAACAATTCCAAGATGGTCTCTCATAGAAAATGTAGCATGTCTGCACAGAGATTGTCCTTTCTATTTTGAGACATTTTTTAATGAGGTAGTAAGTCCATGAAAAAGGAAGACAGGAAAAAAAGAAGAATGTCACCAACCTGTTGACTTGACTGTTGTTTCTCCGTTTCTACAGCAAGAATATTAAGAAACCACATGAGCTTCTGAGGATCCAAATAACCTTACCTTCTAAGTAAACACAACACGCAAGGACTTTTTAGGGATCACTGCTCCACTGTGCTGGTTTATGAAGATAGAATACGGTGAGATCTATCAGGAAGTTCACAGGCTACTGAGGTAATATTTCCATTTGTCTTTCTCTCATAATTATAAAGACAAAAGTATTTCACATCTATTTTGTAGCAAAGCTATGTAGGTAGAACTGGTTCAGATGAGTTTCAAATGAAAACAAAACAAAACAGAAAACAAAAACAAAGACAAACAAAAAAAAACAAAAACAAAAAAAAAAAAAAACAAGAACAGGAATTGGTAGATTATGCTGATCACACTCTTAAAATATCTTTAAAAATATGTTGACAGTCTTCATAACTAATCTTCATTAAAATGTGGCTAAATGCCATGCATTAAAAATGCCTCTACAGCCTCGCTTTTAAATGTAATTCCAGGAGGAGTTGGGAAGGTTATACTCTAAGGTCAGTAATTTCTTTCAAAAGTTCTGCTAACTAAAGATGACATTTCTAGCCCCAAAATCTTTGCATCTAACATGACAAGAGTATGATTAGACTTAGTCTTGACTACTAGAGAAATCTGTCGTTAAGCTAAAGAAATTGCTGAAGTGCAAGGTGTCATGACTTGGTTGTGTTTGTGATGTGTAACCCTAAGACAGTCCAGGCAGCTATACGTGATACGTGTACTTAGTAATTTAACAAAGACACAAACAAAAAAAAAAAAAGCAAAAAGCCAGTCTGGAACAAATCTGAAAGCAGTTAAAAGCTAAATCAGCTGAAAAGAAAGAACATAAATAGAAAGTGGAATAATAATTAGGAACTGCTTAAAACATTCTAAAAGATGCTTTGAAAACTACCGTCCAGCTGAGAATGGAGGCAGTTCTAGTTAAAAGAAAACAGACTCAGAAGGGGTATGAATGCAAATGCATTCTATAAAACACAGGAGGCAAAAAAGAAGTAGATATTAAAAACCAAACAAGGAGGAACAAAAGAAAAGACATCCATGGCTGTTAGAATTAAAAGCAAGAAAGGAGCTAAGCATCCCATGAATTAGAGTACTTTAAGCAACAATTCGTATCACTGGTGGAAATTACATTGCTAGGTGGAAATGATAGAACTGTGAGCAATGAAGCAGACTCTTCAAAAAGTATCTGGAAGAAAAGTGCAATGATACATTACCTATGTTACAAGCTCGAAACATATTTTCTATTTTAACAGTATTGAAGATGATGTTAAAAGGCAAAGTAGGACTTAAGACACTGTGAAATCATCAGGTCCTGATACCTTGATCTCAGGAATTTTAAAGGTGTGTGCTGAGGAGCTCTCTGACCCGTGCACGTTGTTTCAGTGGATTTTGGAAGGCTGCTAACTTTAAATCAGAAGACAGCAAATACAGTGTCAGCATATAAAGGAAGATATATAGCATGAATGGTGTAATTAGCAGCCTCTCAGAGCTAAAAACAATTTCAGGTAGAACAGTGGACAGACCATACAGGTCTTAGTCAATAAAGAATTAAGGGAGGACTATGTGGGTTAACACCAGTCAACAAAAAATATCTGCTGAAATTAAAACTGAATTAAAAGTTTGGCTGGTAAAGGAAGTGGGTCTGGTATTACAGACTTTTTAGAGGTATTCAGCTTCATACTACCTGACATTTTAATTAGGAAATTAATGTAAGCTGTATTGAATTTGTATTATTCTAAACTGATTAAAAACTGGCTAGTTCCTACATCTGAAAATGTCATCGTAAATGGGGAAAATTTTATCAAGCTGATGGGTTTTTAATGAGGGCCCAAAGAGATCATTCCTTGACCTTACAGTATTTAACTATGGTTTTAACAATGACCCAGAACAAACTATGAAGTTGTTTCTGAGAATTTTGCCAATGACATAAATCATGGCACTGGTAAAAAGGGAAGAGAAAAAAATTCAGGACAATACAGTCAGATTGCAAATAGGGCAGGTGAGGACTTCAGGACCACTTCATCTTCAAGGAAGGCCCAGATGACAGCTAATATTCTTGTCAGTGAGAGGAATTCTGCCCATCGATAGGGAATTTATTCCAATACCTGCTTGTGAGCCTAGAAAACGACGCGTGTGTCTACATGCTTGAAAGTAAGCTGACGTACAGAAACAAGGAATGTTGGCAGACACGTGAGAAAATGGAGACTCTGACTGACCTCTAAAGAGGTCTTGAGCATCTGTCTCCAAGATAAATCCTGTGATTTTGTGGTAGCCATTTTACTTTACAGGAAGGATAAACCTAACCATGGAACAGTTGTACAACAGCAAGGTCTGTAATGAATTTTCCATCACCAAAGGCTTCAAAATCTTCACATTTTCCAGAAGAATTGCTCTAGCTCAACCACTGCTATTGGCTTTGAAACCAAAATTCTAGAACTTCTGGATGTGTATGGACAGTGGTTCACTCTGCCTCTGAATGTCTGTGAATCTTTACATGCTGTTTCTTTTCATCCAAGCAAATTTTCAACAAGAAAATTGTTCAGACTAATAGGATAAAGAATGGAATCAGCCAGAATGGCTGAAATTCATCCGATCCTTCCTAATGTCAGGCATAAAGTTCAGAAGGTGAAGAAAAGGCAAGGAATAACACTGGTTCTTGAACCAGCAGAGACTGAGACACATAAATATTTCAGCCAGGACAGACAAATTGCAGGGAAGTGACACATTTCAGCCAGTGCTGGCTAAATGGAAACAGAATGGAAACAAAACCCTTCTGTAGTTTAACTTCTAAGGTCTAGTCAGTCATCAATATTGTTATTCAAAAAGTACAACAGATGCAAAAGTAGGTTGTCTCTGTCCATCTGATCTCATAGTTTTGAGGAGGAAGAAGAAATCTGGCGACAGGATGATCCTGTACTTCCAAGTACTGTCAGCTAGTTGGGTCTACCCACATCTTTGGGAATAAAAAGGTATCCCAATGATCACATTTTTCTAGGCATCTCAGAGTTGTACTCTCTGCAGCAGAGAACAAATTCAGCACAAATAGCAAGACAGATAGCTGGATCTAAATTCATTAAAAACTTTGGTGGTCTGAAGTCAGGATTTATTAAAAAAAAAAAAAAAAAAGAAGGAAAAAAAGAAAAAAATGAGAGAATATATGGTGCTTTGATATAATAAGATGATGACGACTTTCACTGGAGTTACTTCAAATTTATGTTCTTGTAGATCAGGGTAGAATTTGCCCCTGAAATCTTTAATCGTAGATAATATGACTTCATTCTTATGCAGCTGTTTCAGCAGGTACTTACATACACACAGGAACAAATATCTTTAGCTCAGTTACAACACTGGCTGGAAAAATCATTCTTCCTAGCTCTAAAAATTGTAGTAAGTTTAGTTGCAACCATTTTAAATGCTTTTCTGAGATATTTTTGTTTGGCAACTGAAAGTTAATATTCGTTCTTCACCATCGTTGTGCTCATTTGCCTCTTGACACCTTTCTTTAACCTGAATGAAAAATGCCATGAAGATAAATGATAAATTTTGGATCTTACTAGTTGTTTCACCCCAAAAGTGACAGAATCCACATCGTGGTGGCAGTACTTGAAACACTCAGCATGCTCAACTCTGTCTCCTAGCATTTCTGTACTACTGTTATACTGTTTTTTCAGGTGCTTCTTGTTACATGTTCACTCTACTGAAGATACCCTTTTCCCCATCTCTCCCTTTAGTCATGCATCCCCATACCTCTCTGCTGCCTCCATCTTCTGCTTCTATGATTCTCTGAATTTATAGCTTTACTTCTAGAGTCTGAAGCAGAGACGTGAGACAGGAGAAACTCTAATTTGCTGTGAGTGGACAAAGAAACCAGCTGCCCAGCACAGTCTCTGTGATTCTGTATTGACCAACGTGTTGCATAAGATAGCAGCTGTTTTTTCCAACCGTTTTTCTTCTGAGAACTTGTATCTTATGCTACAAACATGCAGAAAATTGATGTGAGCAGCATGAAACATGCCTGTATGGAACAAATGCTTTATTCTGCCTGTGCTGAAAAAGATGTGTGGCAGAGGACTCACTGATTGTTCAAGTTGTCTATTGTAAGAGCTGGTGCAGATGTGATCAAGCTGCTCAGAGCTATGTCTGGATAGCAAGATACCCAAACAACCTGTAAATAAGAGGGTAAACTCAGCAAACTCCAAGCTCCTAGACATTGCAAGCAACATTAAACTAAATCCAAGCATGCAAGGATGGGGTTGATCCACTCTCATGTGGGGAAGGGGAACAAAAGTTGTGGAGTGAACATCCTGGCAGGGTTTGGTTTTGTTCATGTACCCAGTTAGGAATAGTGATTGCTGCTACTTAAAGTAGCATCCTTCCTTTTCACAGCAGTGCACACCAGGCTACATTCCCAGTTACAGAACAGCCCTTGCTTTCCAGGGCTCTGGCACAGAAGAAGCAGGCAGCGCAACCACAGCTATTTTGCTGTTCCCAAGAATCTGCTGCCAGAGGCAAGTGTCTGCTTTGTCTTTGCCTAGAGAGAGCCCACGAGGAAAATGTAACTCACACAGTAAAGCCACGATGCTGCCCATGCCAGAACACATTGGGAGGGTTGAGGTATCTCCCTCACACAGTTCATGACACTGCTGTTATAGTAGTTATTTCTTGGTGGGTAGTGGACAGTGCCAGTACTTCACTGGAGCCCTGCAACAGCGCATACACAGAACAGATATATTTACAGCTCTTAGGAACTTGTAGTCCCTTCCAAGTGGAAAATTCATGTTATTCTATGCATTTTATAGAGCGCCTCTGCTGAAGAAAAAATGAAAATAAAAATTAGATCCTATCCTTTCCTTTTCACAGCTACATCCAGTCTACTATTTTCTACATACCCTTTTACTCACAATTTTGTTTACAGAGCTATCCAGCATAGAAAGACAAAATGCAGACCAAAGAAAGGAGAACATTCTCAGATCAGGTTTTGGTTCATGAGTAAAGAAAGCTGGTCCATGTTTTACAGGATGGAATTTGAGAAGGAAAGTTGTATTGTGTGTAGGCCGGAATAGAGCATTTTCTCTTACAAGGGGTAAGATAGGAAACCAGGCTGTCATCAGGGATAACAGCATTAGGAATTAGCAGATCCTAAG